CCCCAGCCAGGATTTTCCTCCCTGGTTGCTAATCTGGACTGTTCAGATGGCTGGCTGGGCTGGGCTGAGCTTTCCTCTCCTCTAGTAATTCAGGAAACCTTTTTTCCCCTGAAAATTGCTGAGAAGATAAGGCCTGCACAGCTGAATCGTGAGCTTTGTCTTGTGCATCTCCCTTCCCTGCCCCTGGTTTCCCTTGGTTTTAATTGCCTGCCTAGTGGAGCAGCTCCTGCCCCGGGGAGAGATGCTGCAGAGCAGTTCCCTTTGATGGGGAACAAAAATATCTCAAGGCCAAAAAAAAAAGGCTTCCAGCAGCTCAGTGAATAAATTATAGATATTTACTAGCTGTGGCAGGGAGGCTCATCACCAAAAAAACCCACCCCAAGCCACAAAATCTTCTGATGAGTGATGTTACCTATCTGTGTGATGGTGTGAGCATTAAACCCTCCAGCTTTGATGCATCCCACGTGTGCACTGCAGGGAGAGACAGAGCAGCAGGGCACAAGGAAGGTGAGCAGGGCTTGGACCTGTCCCAGTGGATATTGGTGTAACCAAGATGTTCTTTGAGGGGGAGTTCCCATCCCACCTTGCATCAGCTGCTCCCTGCTGCTGCTGGGGGATGACTGGGATGGCAGGGGCCAGCAGGGATAAATCTGCTGGGCAATGGAGAAGTTCTGGGCACAGCTGAGCCCAGCCACCTGTGGACGGGCAGGGGGCTCAGTTGAGGTGGAGAAAGAAGGGTCAGAGACACGATGGAAGGTGGATTTATAAACTGTGCAAGCTGCTGGTGTGTGATGGCACCTGAAATATTTGCAAAAGCTGAGTGAAGTTTCAAACGGGGTCAGTTTTCCTCCAGGAGAGGCTTGTTTCTGCCAGGGGGTGCTCCAGCCTGGGGAAACCCGGGATGAGGCTGGCCCAGCACAGGCACTGCCTCCTGCCAGCACCAGGTCCCATTTTGCTGTTGATTGCTCCTTGCTGGTACCCCTGAAGCCTTCCTGTCTTTTGTGGCTGAGGATTTCCAGGCTTCCTGCAAAAACTGCCTTGATGGGCAGTGGTGGTCCATGGGTCAGCAGTGCTGTCCCCCTTTTGGTGTGGGGCTCTGTGGCACAGCCAGCTGAAAAGGATGGAGAAGGTCTGCATTACCTGGTGTGTTTGGCAGGGGCTTGGTAATTTGGCTGGACATTCTTGTTCATGGGCACAAATTGTTAGAGCTGCTGTGGATCAGATGTAAGGCACAGATCTAATGGGAGAGCAATT